ATCATGTGAGTTTGGGAATAAAGTGTGCCATTTTGCTTTGTTTAAAAACAAGAAAACAAGGTTTTTTAGGTGATCCTTCTCCTTTTTAACGATTGACCTCTAAACGGATGACTAGGAAGAATTTCTGTGAAATAAACTGTCTCTGACGATGTTGCAAAACAGAAGGTGGAGTTCTGCAAAATGATTGTGCAGGATTACAGATATTGATTTTAACTTTACTATTCATAACAATTAAACTAATGACTGAGATTTAAAATAAAAATAATTGAACTATTTGATTGCAAAAACTAAAGGAAAATCTACGTATTGGTCAAAGTTTGGAAACTTGAAAAATTAAATTTTAATTTAGAAATTGAAATTAAATAAATTGCTAGTCTGGCAATTGCGCAAAAACAAAGGAAAGAAGGCAGAAAGTATCAATCTATTTACATAAATAAATAACAAAGATGAAATAAAAAAAGAAAAGAAAAGAAAAACTAACCAAATTAACATAGTAGACCTATTTTCGAAGCTAATCTACTTCCAAATCCTTAAAAATTAACCAAAGTTGCAATATTTGAGGGGAAATATGAATGAGAATGGAAAACCCTAAACTAAAACTATGAACAAAATCAAATCTTGCACCTTAATATGAAAATTATGTTGAAATCTAAAAGAAACAATCTGAAGTTGAAAAAGCATATGCGTTGGGCAATTTTCTGTAGGGTAGGTCATGTAGAATTGGTTTTTTCCTCTTGTTTTCCTTTTCTTCAATGTTGGGAACCTCTCTCCATGATTTTCGACCCTCTCCCACCATAAACAAAGAGTGGATGCTCCACGTCTAAGGTGGTTTTCTTTTGTTTGACAGCTAACAATTTTAATTTAATTTTAACTCTAATAAAACCTTAAAAATAACTTTCTTGTAAAAACTCTCAAACTAATTACCAAAAACTACTTTATTATTTGCCACATAAGTCCAACTCCCTTTAAATTTCGTATAGGTCATAAAACTTAAGTTGGTCCAAACCAATCCAGCCTATTGACTCTTCTTAAAGATTGAGCCCAAACCTAATGCATGGCTTTGTCTTCTTTATTTTTATATGTAAATAAAAACACACATAAATCTAAAAATACTATAAGATTACACGAAAAATCTTTCAACCACAATTTCAAATGTATCCTTTATCTCATGTTTCACATAAAAGCTATTGTCCTCGCCATTCATCTTAGTGGCACTTGTCAAGGAACTGGGAAATGCATTAACATATTTTTAAAATCTTTGATGTTGCTGATTGTGTTCTCATTGTTGCTGAGTTGTGTTAACATATCATTAATCGTTGCTGTTGCTGACGCTGATGCTTCTCTCAGATATTGTTGAATATCCCCCCACCCCCAAAAAAAAAAGGAAAAAAAAAAAAAGAAGCCCCTCTTACCCAACCATGTGAAAAAATGAGTCTGGATTTAGAACTTTAGGCCCAAAGTGGAAACTTTTGCGTATCCAGTTGAATGTGCAGTTGAATCATGCTCCCATATCCATCAACCTTTTTGATGGTCCCTAAACAGGCAGTCTAAACTCATGGCATGACATGTGCTCCCTCTAGAGCTACACCTTTTTTGATAGGGTTATGAGGGTGGTAACTGGTAAGACCATTCATTTTGGTAAGTTCGTGAGGGGAGAAGTATGATGTGCAAAACACTAGTTGTAGGATGTAAGGCTTTCCAGAAGCATGGGGCGGTGGAATTTGTTTTCAATTCGGCAAATTATGATGGTGTACCTAATCATTTTGTCTGGATTCTAGTTTTGGGCTTTGTTAGTATATTTTCTCAATAATGTGAGGAGAAGTGTGAGAGTCAGGACAACATATCACGTGGCAGGTACTATTCTCCCCACAACTTTCGTATTCCCCTTAACACCTGTTTCATATTTGGTTTTTCTTTCTTATCTTTTTCATCTTTGTGTTTCATTGAATGGCCATGAGTAAATTTCCTAGTTCCTAGCACTGCACCTTGACTAGATACACAGATCATATGCTTTCATTTTCTATTGAATGTACAGAAGAGAATCTCATTGCAGGTACTGAAGTACCCTTTTCTTAGGCCTTCCAGGACCCGCTATCTCTTCACTTTCAATTGAAGAGTCTTAGTCAGGGCAAAGTGAAGGAGGGCTGGAGGAAATAAAAGCTGGCAATAAGGCCTGCTGATGGTGGATCAGGCCACCATAAGCCCTGCAGGTGGTGGAGCAGGCCGTGCCCTCTTTCTCTCTGGCCAATTAAAAACTAGTTAAGAGTGATATGAAATGCCATTCGACAATAATAATGGAAAAATGTTTATAAAATTGAGGATTCCTTTGTTTACACTTTTTATTTGGCTTTTAGATGAAAGATCATTTCACTTTCCGTAATATAGACTTATACTAATGATGCATACATTCCACAGACATTTTTGTGCCCACGGGGCCAACTCCACCTTATTGGACCATGTTTGATTTTGCAATATTTCAAAATATCTTCTGAAAACCAAGTTTCTTAATATGATTTATATATAATTTTTTTAGTAATGACTGTCGTAATTCTTGTAATTTTATTTGCACTTATCATGTGAAGTAGAAAGAATTTCCCCTCAAGAAGCTAATGATGTATATATAAGTTGATTGAAGAACATAGATCCTGTCTCTTGCATACACTATATAACCTCATGATCTTAAGTCATTTTCATTTAGTTGTCAATATAGAACAATGCATCTTCTTTGAAATGGACTAGACTTCCACCAGGTTGGACAAACCTCACTCTATGTAAAAAGGATCCGTGGACAATTTAACCACCAAGAGTGTGAAACTCGTTCGAGTGTTGAAATCGTGTACATATTGAATTCTGGTAGGTAGGGGATCCAATGGTACCTCTTGACACAATGAGAATGATGATTTTGGCTTCTCAACTTCATCCGCTACAAAAGTTTGTTCTCTGCAAATTGTGCATGAAGGTTAAGGAAACGGATCAATCCACTTCTCACCAGGTGGTGGGCCAATAAGGTTGCCGCATGACTCAAGCAAAGCTAACTCTTCTCTCCTTTTTAGGTCAAATAGTCCCCTTGAACGTACCCTTTAGTAGGATCCATTTTTCTTCTTGAATAGGGAAAAAGTAGTTGAAAAATTATGATTATCAAAGAATTCTTGTATGAGAGGTATTTAACATGCTTTAAAGGTATATTTGTTTGCAATGCAAATGCAAAGTGGCTTTTCAGATAAAAAGGGTGCCTCTTTTAAGAGCTGAAATGCTTCAAATTTGAATTGGGGACAGAGGGACTGCTGCTGCTTTTGGCTCTTGGAATTTGAATGGGCTTGTGTATTACGATGAGTAGATTTTTAACTCACTTTTCCCTTTTATTTTAGGCAACAAAAACTTCCAACTTCTTTCTCATTTGCCCTTCTTAATTTATTCATGGCTTCTTCACTGAAGCTAGATTCTTCTAAATTTTTTTAGTGGCTTGTCAGTCCCCACAACAGTACCTTACCAAGGTCTAGGCTGTTGATTAATGCAGTCACCTCACAAATAATAAGAACTATATCTCATTTCCTATCTTGTATTGTATATTAACATCAATACACATCTATTTATTAACATCAACATCATGTAAGTATTGTAATATCATAAATATACCTTTCAATATGGATTGTCTTTTTTTTTTTTTACAATTTAAGTACTAAAATTATTAAAATATCTTTAATAAAATTGTCATTTATATTCATTCATTATCATTAATAATAATAACTGGAAAAAATTCAGTTCTCCCTAAATAAGATCTTGAATTTGAGTTTTGTGAATAAAGAAACTGAAAGACCTTATATTTTTATAAAGTCAGATTAGTCAAAACTTAATATGATTATATCGAGAGATTAATACTAAAAAAAATTATCATTCATACTATTTTGATAATTTTAATATTTCAACTGCATAAAAAAATACAAT